CATACTCTTATATATATATATAAATATACACATTTTCACTCTCACGCCACATAATATATGTCTGTATGTATGTATGTATGTATGTATGTATGTATGTATGTATGTATATATATATATATATATATATATATATATATCTATATATATATCTAGATATAAATAAATATGTTCTGGTATGGTTGTGAAGATTAAAGTGCTTAGAGGCACTCTGGGATAAGTGCACTCATGTATATATATGAATGAGCTTTAACATTTTTCAAATTAAAAAAATGTTGTTAGTGCTGTTCCCCACCTCCTCTTCCTCTTCCTCCTCCTCCTCCTCTTCCTCCTCCACCTCCTTTTTATAACGGTTGTTGTTTTAGCTGCCTCATCATCATCATCATCATCATCATCATCATCATCATCATCATCATCATCATCATGCACTCAGTGAAGTGTAGCTGACCTATATATGATATATGTTTGGTGCCGATGCCTAGTTTTATTCCCTCTTGATGATAAGTCGATCTTTGTTTGACGCAAGCTCAGTGCAACCAAAGCATGATAAGGTGAGCCTATTTTATTGCTAGTCGAGAATCACAAAAAAGGGATTCTCGACAGAGTTGAAGTAACCTTCAAGTTTTTCAATTGTGTTTTTTAAAATCCTTACAGGTGAGGTTTGCTTCCGTCTTGGTGAGAGAGAGGTGACGCATGATAAGGTGAGCCTATTTTCTCGCTAGACGAGAATCGCAAATAAATGGATTCTCAGCAGAGTCAAAATGAGAATCACAAATAAATGGATTCTCAGCAGAGTCAAAATGAGAATCACAAATAAATGGATTTTCAGCAGAGTCAAAGTGAGAATCACAAATAAATGGATTCTCAGCAGAGTCAGAGTGAGAATCACAAATAAATGGATTCTCAGCAGAGTCAAAATGAGAATCACAAATAAATGGATTCTCAGCAGAGTCAAAATGAGAATCACAAATAAATGGATTCTCAGCAGAGTCAAAGTGAGAATCACAAATAAATGGATTCTCAGCAGAGTCAAAATGAGAATCACAAATAAATGGATTCTCAGCAGAGTCAAAATGAGAATCACAAATAAATGGATTCTCAGCAGAGTCAAAATGAGAATCACAAATAAATGGATTCTCAGCAGAGTCAAAATGAGAATCACAAATAAATGGATTCTCAGCAGAGTCAAAATGAGAATCACAAATAAATGGATTCTCAGCAGAGTCAAAATGAGAATCACAAATAAATGGATTCTCAGCAGAGTCAAAATGAGAATCACAAATAAATGGATTCTCAGCAGAGTCAGAGTGAGAATCACAAATAAATGGATTTTCAGCAGAGTCAGAGTGAGAATCACAAATAAATGGATTCTCAGCAGAGTCAGAGTGAGAATCAACCCCCCGGGCTGTGCCACTGACTGAAGTGTCTTTAGGCCATTCCCATTTCTCGTTCAAACATAGTAGAATTGTAATTGGGCTGATTCATGTCACGCTCATAACTGTGCCTGATCTACAACAGGGAACTGCTGTTTTTTCTTTCCTGATTCTTACTGTTGTCATTTTCCTCTACTTCTTTTGTATGTTTGTCACTCCCTTGTGACCCGCTATTTTGGGGTGCCTTGATAGTTGAAGCAGACTTTGTGCTGTTGAACCTAGAGAGGTGAGCAGTCTTAGTCTGAATCCCTGTAAAGACTTCTCTGTTGACACCCACCCCTTGGTGCTCATATGACCTTATGCAGTTGCGAGCGCCGTAAAATCCTCTACTATAAAAAAAAAAGAAAAAAAAAGTGAGAAACATATATAAAGGGATTCTCAACAGAGTCAAAGTGAGAATCACATATAAAGGGATTCTCAACAGAGTCAAAGTGACCCTCAAGTTTTTCAGTAAGTTTTTCCTTTTATCCTTACAGGTGAGGATTGCTTCCGTCTCGGTGAGAGTAGAGAGAGGTGGCGTGGAGTTTACGGGTACGTTCCTGTGTTCTATAAACTTTGACTGACCATGGTACATTATCATGCCCTATCAATCAAATAGCCCTCAGAGCTTATATTAGTGTAGGATAGAGCGTGTATGAATGCAATCTATTATAATAGTAATAATAATAATAATAATAATAATAATAATAATTATTATTATTATTATTTTTAATATTATTATATATTATTATCATTGTTATTATTATTAAATGTGTGTGTACCTGGTAAAAGGCCCCAGGAGTTGTTGGAAATGTTTGATACTTAAATAAGGGCATATTTTTCCTGTAGCAAATTCAGTGCTGAACGTGCTGATAAAATTTTTTTTTCAATATATCTTGAGTAGTTTTAAAGATATGCCACTTTCTTGTAGCATAAGGTGTAAAAAGAAAGTTTTGGAGAAAAACCCAATTTCTGGCTCATTTTTAGCCTTTGGTGAAGTGCATCATGTTGCAAAAATCGCTACTGACTGTAATAGAAAATACATGTATTTAGACTTAAAATATTATAAAATTATTTTATAATGTTATTAAGAAATGGTTAAACATGTGTTTAGCTAGCATGGTGCAGAGAGAAAAGTAAAGGATTTACCAGTATTAACAAGCACCTGTAATAATCACAAATGCCTTGACTCACAGAAGCAGCACCAGTCTGTTGACTGGTTATGATTATAAAACCCATTGCACTATTGCAACCTCCCGGTTATGGCTTTCCTATTTATTATTATCCTTTTGAAGCTTCAGTCTGTCTTTCATGCTTTTTAAAAGTATTTCTTTAGAAATTTGCATTTATT